CCTGCCTTTGATCTTTACATGCAGTCTCATCTTCATTTGGCCACTTCCTGCTTGTTTCCCGTTTCCTCTGAGGACAACTGGTTGGGAAGCATCTCATCTGTGCTCATTCGATGTCTCTGCACCACCATCGCTCTCAGATCAGATTTATTTCTCCGATTCGTGCAAGTTTATTCTCTCATACAGACTGTGTTTTAAAAGCTCTGTTCACAGAGTCAGAGATTCTTGTCACATTCCTCTTCAGGTGCACACGTGCACCATATTCACTCATGTTCATGTGCTGCCTCTCGTGGCAGCTGTGTGTATTACATTATTGTATCAGTCCCTCCCCCACCCCGAACCCATGTGGAAACATTTAGGATGCCCAAAAATACAAAACACTCATCTGAACTGGCAAGAGTGGAAACATGGCATTTCAGGGAAGAGGAAGAAGGCTGGTCACAGTGCGTTTATAAAGCTTGTTCCAGGGAATCATAGCATGTTTACAGAAGCCTCATTCCTGTCTTTGTCAGCCTCTTCAGAATTGATTGTGGTTATTGTTGAAATGTATATGCTCATTGTCTGCAAATTCAGTTGCACAAGTATGAACAGTTACACTTTTTATGGCTGTACATAGTGTTCAGATGTTTATAATATTATTATTATAACAATAATATTTAATAATTTAAATTGTTTATTAGTAATATTTTTAATATTGTATTATTTTATATTAGTCCACCCAAATTATTATTTTTTTTTTTTGTGGAGCGTTAAAGGTATTTTGAAGAATGTTGGGAACCAAATAGTTTCAGTTCCCATTGAATTACATTGTATTTTCTTGTCCATAGAATGGAAGCCAATGGGAACCAAAACTGATGGTGGTTTGAAGTTAAATTTGAGTAAAAACGTACTATTAATTTTATAAATAGTCTTATGTAGCTTGATGCTGATGTTAGCTCTAATTAGGGTTGGGAATCGAAAATAGATTCCGATTCCAGAATCAGATACTTAAGGTCAGGAATCGGATACTGGTTGTCAAATTAAATTTTCGATTCCGCCTATCGATTCCTATGCGCTTTTTTTTTCTGCCGGGACCTTGGTCGCTAATCTAAGCGCTCCAAAAGTTTGGCTACATTTGCGATCAGAAGCCAAAAAAGCGGAGTATAATATCTGTGATAAAAGAAAAAAAAAACTCAATTTATCCAGAATCATGCAGTTCTATTTTGCACACAAACAGCTCTTAAAGAGTCCAGTTTTTATGTAGCCGGTTGAGTTTTGTTCATGGTATTCAACTCCAATAAATGGTTTGCAAAAAAAGAGACACTGGATAAATGTTTGATATCATTATTTAATCACATTGGAATCGAAAAGAATCGGAATCGATCAGCAGAATCGGAATCGATAAAATTCAAACGATACCCAAACCTAGCTCTAATGCACCTTGTTACCCTGCTATTAAATTTCATGAGGCTATTCTATCAAAAGAATTCACGTAAGGTTGTAAGAAAATGTTTTGTTTTCTAGAAAGACACTTTATAATAAGAGGATAAATGTATATTGGAGCTAAAGGATTTGTGGACCAGGAGACCATAAAGATTTTCAAGTTAATGCGGTGTTTAACGACACTATATTATGTTTGTTCACCTACACTGCGAAAGGACCCCTTTTAGCTCTTATTTTGTATTTAATTTAATGTTCAACATTTGTTTTTCTAAAATTTAACTTGATGATTGTCATTTTCTTCAATCATCTAATTATTATAACACCTAAAATATGTTGCATGTAAAAAGTGTTTGTTTCAGCCAGTTGAAGGGTGGGTATAATTAGGGCTGGGTGATATGGCCAAAATGTATATATATCTCGACATTTTCTATTTGAAAATGTATTTTCTACGTTTTCTGTGTAATTTCTATATTAAGATTTAAACTGAACAAAAAATGAAAGTAAATAAACACAAGAGCACAGATTAATTGCATTATATTTTGATTACTCCATTACTGCTATCATAAAATACACTTACTTGTAGGTTTAAAATTCTACATATGACACCATTATTGCACTCCTGTTCTATTGCACTCTGTCTGTTTGGCACACATGTGCGTGGCGCACGTGCACTTTCTGACGTTGACAGATGAAGAATATACAAGTGAATTGTAAGTTATGCATAGCATCTCTGTCAGCAGCACATGTGTCTGTCAGAGCATCTGACGGGACGAGCCGCTTTAAACTACACGTTAACTAGATCTTACGAGTTATTTTAAAGCCCTTAATATAAAGCATGTCTCATGTTTAGGACAAATTGAATTATGCACTTTACCCGCAGCAGCTCACTCTGCGTCCTCCGCTTTATTCAGATGCGCTCGTATCAAACTACTGTATATTGATATAAATGGTTTTGCCTCATACCATATCACTTATAAAAAATATATCAATATATCGTACAAACTTCATATACTGCCCAGCCCTAGGTACAATGTGTGCACATAACCAGGATGGTACCACCTCCGCCTCATTTTGAGCCAGTGTGGTTCTTTGACTATGTAAAAACTCAATGTCATGTGATTGGTTGTCTATAACATCACATATGATTTCTTAATGACATGCAGCGGCCACACACAAATCCTTTTTTCCTGCCCAGTGTGCCGCTAACATTCATGCACAGAAAAGTGACTGGATTGTTGTGTGTGAGCTTGGCAAGCAGTGGTGCCTGCTGTCTTTTTCCCATTGAAAACAAACTGCAAACTTGTGATTAGTGTAAAATGACCTTAAAAAGTTGGTCTCCGTGTACATCTGAGATTGAAGCCCACAGGATAAAAACACAAAAATCCTAAATGTTGAAAAGAGACTTGTTTGTGAGTCTATTGATTGGTGTTCTCTCATGTAAAAAGAAAAGTAGAGTGAGGCTTCAGACAAGCTTTTGTTGTTGTCAAGCTCCTCTGAAGCAGATCTGAGTGTAATTCCAGCCTATTAAGAGCATTCTTATTGGACTGTTAGAAGAAAACACAAAGTAGTGATATATGTGTGTGTTGTTGTCTTCCGCACACTTTTTTTAGTTCCCTTCTCGTCATTCCCATCTGTGGTTGCAGTCATACTTTTACTTTTTCCCTTCACTTTTATCTCTTAAGTATCTCGCTCTCCTCATTCAGAGACGACGCTCCTGAAATGTTATGAGAAATGCCGCCAGTGTCATCAATGTACTAACAGCCAAATTCACTCACACTGCCAGTTATAAACTACCTGCTAACCGAAGTACTGTCCAATCCTAAATTTTTAACCGGCACTCCAGATGAACGCTGCCCCAGTTAGAGGCAGAAGCTTTTAAAATTTCCACCATTGTGTTTGAACACGGACAGATAGAAGCATACGGCTAGCTGATTAGCTGAATCTCTGTGTTTTCTGCTTTATTAAAAGTAACTGCATGTTTTTTTTTGTTTGTTTTTTTTTCTATATAATTATAATTTTAAATGTTTTAAGCGATCAGATTGCTTTTATTAGCTGTATTATATATTATCACAACCTTAATTACATTTTTAAAAAATTATAAATTGGCTACTTTTTATATTTGCAGATCACGATTGAATATTGTCCGTTTAAAAGTGCAGAGATGCAGAACTGTTAACAGTATAGCTTTTATCTCTAAGTTTAATAGTTTTGTTTAACTTGCATATAAAAGCTTTGTTAGATCTTGAGTTGACCTGTTTCTAAATGTACGAAATGGATCGCAAAACACTTGGCAGAAGTTGCATTTCATTACAATTCAGAAACCAGATCAGTGCTGTAATTCCAGGTGTTTTCTGTGTGATTGCAGAGATGATAGTCCATGTAAAAACTGTCGTGCTTTAATGTGAAGCACTCTTGTTTGAATAGGCTCGGAAAAACTGGGCACAGTTGCCAATAGCAACCTGTTCTCTCTTTCTCTCTGATGCTGTGCTCTGGGTTAATGACACGAGCACATGAGCGCTAGGGAACCTGCCACATGCAAAACTGGGTCAGCAGCTCAGGATCCATGTGTGGTCATCTGCTGGAGAGATTTGTGTGAGAGCATCAGGTTGGAAGGGGGGACTCAAGTAAACGTAGACAAAGGGAAAGGCTGATCACTGCCAGATCTAAATTTTGGATGCTGGTGCTCCAGACATTTAATTCACAAAAAGTATATTTGATGACGATCCATGCAAGCTATTTATGTATTTATTTATTTTATTTTTTCCACAAAGATAAATATTGAAGTAATTTATTTATATATATATATATATATATATATAATATTCAGACCTTCTTGTTGGTTTATTTGGTGTTATGCCTTTTCTGCAAAACTCTCTATGATTCACATTTGATGCTACCAAGGTTAGGGCTAGGATTGCTGCTGGACACAGAAGAACAGTGTGCAGTGTGTTCACGAATCCTTATTGTCTTAAATACACTATTCAGAATTTAAGGCTGCAAAACATTTAGAAAAAAAACTTGAATGGTTCATTGATGTCCAGAATTTGCGAAATCATTGCTGAAAAATGTTTGCAGAAGTCATTTTACATGAATTGAAAAGTTTTAGTGTCAGTAAATATTTCTGTGTTTGTTAGTATCTATTGATATACTATTGTGTTGATAAATTATTACATAAACCACTCTAGTTCAAAAGTGACACTTTACAAAAAGGATCTATTTATTAGCTATATTTAATACATTAACTAACAATGAGCAACACATTTGTTTTTATTAATCTTTGTTAATGTTAGTTATTAAAAATAATACTGCATCATCTTAATGTTGAAAACAGATTTGTTGCTTAATATTTTTCTGTAAACGATGCATTTTTTTCATGATTCTTTGATCAGAAGAACAGCATTTATATAAAAAAAAAAAAGTGTTCATTTGTTTATGATCAATTGAATGTGTCCGTTCTCTATAAAGTTTATTTATTTATTGAAGAAAAAAAAACAAAACTAGTGTGCATTGAATGTTATTTATTCTTTTGTGTAGTCATCTATCAGTGCAGGGCTGATATGTTTCTTTTTTTTCATACCATTCATACATTTGCACTAACTTCTCTCCTTGTCAGGCTCAGAGGTCAGTGGCTCCTCGCTGTGGCTGTGAGCTGAACGCTCAGTGTGTGATGTGCAGTGGACGTGCTCTCCCTCCTGCAGACACCCAGCACCAGCTCCCCCTACTGGACAGACTGGCACAGTTTGACCACTGCGTTCACCCCATCCTCTCCTTTACAGATGGTGAGGACACACCCCTATCCTTTAATTGTTTTTCTCTCATTTGTTCCAGTATGCATACATGTACATAGACAAAAACAATGACAGCATCAAGGCCCGGTTATACTTCACTTTCTGCTCCGTCTCGTGGACAGCCTTGTCTGCACAGCTTTCAAAGTATACTCAAACCCGGATGAGCAAGCATGGACCTAGTGAACTCGTTCTGTCTCAACATTCACCTCACGCTTTCGGTGTTGTACGTAAAGCATCCGCGTGGTTACCAAAATTGGCTATGCATGTGGATGGTGTGTGCGGATGTCCGTATACAGTTCTGATGACAAAAGTAGCATCACACAGACCGTTGGGGAACGTGGACGGCCCAAGTATACTTTGGGCACAGCTCTATCTATCCCTGCTGATCATTTCCCACAGATTGCCTCAAGAATGAGGACTTTTAATAAGGTTTTTTTTTTTTTTTACTGCATAACAACTTGGTGTTAATTTATGTGTTCATTATTCTGGATCTGGTTATTGCACCTCCTAAAATTACCTGCAGACTGATCTGGGTTTGGAGCAGGTCATTAGTGCTGGGATCTCAGAACAGTTTTTCATGTCTGTGAGAATTCAGTTACATTGAATTTGAAGAGCTGATCTTAGATCAGCGGTCCTTCCCTGTGCTGGTCGGATTAGCTGATCAAGCATTCGTCTGCCTGACCTTTGCAGTGATAACCATTTTATAGAGCAGTGACCAAGTGTGCCAGTAGCAGCTAGCTTTGTCAGACTAGCTGAGAGAGAGACGTATTTTCCCTCATTAATATGAACTGGTTGTCCTCTCTAATCTGGCATCTGTTGTACAAATGAATGATGGGCGTAGAAGAGGCAGGTGACACCATGGGTGAAACTCGAGTAGATGGAGGGAAAAAAGGAAGAGGAACCTCAGTACAATGAATACTAGAGTCAAGCTCTGATGCCTTCTGCTGGAGAATTTACTCATGACACTTTGTGTCACTGATTTAGATGTTTGCAGAGCATTAAGTCAGTCACTATTTGCATTAGTAAAGTAGCCAAAGGATGAAACGTCATTTTGAATGAGTATTATGTAAAATGGTGTTGGGTTTGATTCTGAGAGAATGCACATAATACACATTTTAATGTATACCTTTTATTTCTTTTTAATTAACTTATTTTTTAACTTTTTATTTATTTATTATTGGAAACATTTTTTACAATGTCCTTTTTACATGTTACATATATGCAGAGAAAACCAAACCTAATCTTAACCCTAACCTTATAGTAAGTACTAGGGATGCACCGATACCGATACTGGATACTGAGCTCCTGTACTCGTACTCGTTCAAATGCCCCGATACCAAACGCCGATACCACACAGCATGTGATAAGTGACATATTCAGACAAAGAAACACCGACAACAGACAGCAGAATGGAGTTATTAGAGATTAAGGATGTCTACGAAGTATATGTATGCAATGAATATAAAACATTCAGTATTAATGCCTGTATAGCTGATTTGCGCCAGCTGATGAGCAAATCGGGGTGAGTGGATTGCGCGGCGCAGATGCACGAGCTTGTCGAGTGAATATCCCTGTCTCACAGACATCACTGGAAAGTTTGTAGTTCGGTCGGATATGTCAAAAAAAAGTAAGTAAAACAATTCACACGTTACTTAATGGTAGGGAGAGAGAGAGAGAGAGAGAGAGAGAGC